TTATTTAACTCATGGACGCTGCTTCCTACTGGCAGGTTGGCAGATGAGGCCTCATACATGTGCATGGCATTTAGTATAGACACCTATTTGGCTATAAACAATTATAATAAATGACACTTCAATAGGTCACACATGAGGTGCCACCTTTCCCTTTTTTTGAGCCAGGAAATACCCTGGCAGTGTATAACACAGTGTGAACAGTCTATGAGTGCCTGACACCTAAACTACCGCTTCTCATCTGCCAATGGAAAGCGTCCCGTCAGCCAAGATTCACCACACTTAATAATTAATGTCTTACTTCAGAATCATCTTGCTCTGGAGAGAAACACAAGGGCTGGGTGTTAGATCTCACAGGTGCTTTTGGCTTTTCGCAGAAGCGTGTGAGAAACCCTCCACGCCATAATTGGAGGTAAAAGCATCGGGCATCGTGGCCTCCTGCACTTGACCAACTAAATCTGAAAATGCTTCTTTTCTTGCTCTATTTTGGCCGATGAGGACGACACCATCTCCAGATTTACAAACAGAAATCCTATGCTAAACTATAAATCAATCCTCATGCCGGTGAACCTACAGTTGAATCGCTGGAACACTTCCATCCAGCGTGACACACAGAAATAAAACAGAAACCGTATTGTCTGCAAGATATACAGCTTCTTCTTCCACTTTGTGGATTTTCTGAGCGATACCTCTGAACAGCCGATAAGTGTTTTGGCTGCTTCAGGGAAAGCAAATATCTGCTTCCATTTCATGAGCACTATTGACCTGCTAACCTAAAATATACCAAGAGGACAAAGTGTCTGCAGATAAAGAATGAGTTGGTTTGCTGATAACTTCATTGCAGATCATACAACCTAAGTGTGCTATGTAGTACATATGTATAAACTTGCATTAAACATCCACAAATGATGACATAGAATACAGTACTATTACCACCAAAATAGCAGTATGAGTAGAGTAAAGTAAATCAAGGGTATCAAGTGATAGAAATGTTTGCGTTAAAATACTCAGATTCATTTTTTCCACGATATTTTCCAAATGTTTGTCAGATACTATTGTTTTTTTCTGATAATTTGGGGATTTTCAACAATATATTTTTTTAGATATTTGCTGATATATTTTTGATATTTCACTATTTTTCACACAGATCGCAAAAAATACCAACATAAGCTTTTGTGTGGTAAGTAAAATATTTATAAAGTGTAAAAGTTGTAGAACAACAAATTGGAGGCTGACAATCTCGTATGACATAAAATGTACTAATTGTAGCAGAAACCAGCCTTAGAATGCAACGAATTGTTTAGGACTGCCTCACTAACGAGAAAGAAAATCACATAAAATTGACACTTCATAATGAGATTTAGGTGCTACAGCTTCAACATGTTGAATTACTCATCTATTGATTTGCCGCAGCCAAAACAAAGTCACAACAAGTGTGCAGTAAATACCAGCAGAGGTGATATTTTGACCTGGCCTTGATTAGTCGTTTACTGAGGTTTGGTTAGTGTTAATGATTAATCAAATAGATTTAAAAGACGTTAAGGAGGAATGAGTAATTTGCATCACTTTTGTTTTTGTCAAGACACATACACAACGAATATATCAGCACTTAACGCGAACACTGAATATGAGAGAAATGTATATCATTAACCAGGCTTACGGTTAGCTCATTAATAAGAGCAAAATTAAATTGAATAAAAAGATTCCTCTTTTATTTTAACATACTGTCACTCGTTCACAGTACTTATTGTAGGATTCAACTGAAAATACTTCAAATCATTAATACATCATTATGCGTTAGAGGAGTGCACTTTTCTTATTATAATAATGGTCATGCTGTCAATACTTTGGTAATCTATTACTCATTTATTTACTGTTGCCCGTTTGTGTGACATTTAAATGGTTGTTGAAAGGATTCATGCAGATGTAGTAACAAAGACCAGATATACAGATCCTGAGGTCCTAAAAAGTTCACCAGAAACAAGTTCTTAGGCCATTATACACATGCGTGTCTGTTTCTCAGCCTAGGCTTTGCATTTTAGCACCAGTTTGAACAATAGAGTTCCAACACTACACTCATTGTAGACAGAGTGACGAACAAAACCAGAAAAGTGCAGCATTCCTAGAAGACCCAGGAGCCTGAGGGCTGGAACCAAAGGCCCAAGGTGAATATCACGGACCCTAGAAGAAGTCAGGAACTATTACCAGTATCTCGACAAGAGTGGAGTCTCGGACAGATAGTATCCGACCCATTCATTTGGTACTCATATTGGTGTCTCATCCTGGGTTGGTTGAGCGTGCGTAATGCAAATTTACATTAATATTAAGCATGATCATGTGGTTGCTTCCTTTATCTCACCTGGCAAGTAACCGAGCAATACATAATAATGTGAGTTTCAGAACAGGTCTGGGTTGATATTAAACATGTGAAGACACCGTAAAGAATGCTCGGACTACAAAACACTGAACCTCATGATACTTTCAATGATCTCTACTTCACAAGACTACCGAGTCATGAGTTAATTGTGTCGGCATTCAAAACAGTAAGAGAAAATATATCTTTGTTTTCTGTTTTAAAGACAGATTTGAGTCCAGAGTCCATCTGTTGGTGTGTTTATTACAGAACAGACACTCACTAAACCTATTGCCACATCACCTTTATGAACTCTGAATACACTTTTCCTTATTTTTCTGATGTTTTCTCTCTAGGGCATATTTTCTTTCATCATTAGATATCAACAAGCTTTCAAGGCAATCAAGTCATTTTAAGCGCATGCCGCTAAGTTTGCTTAACAAAGCAGAGTCAATATTAATAGAGTGCTATTCAAGCCCAGGTTTACACACAGGACAGTCAGAGGGTTAATGATTGACCAGGCTTTGGTGGGTGTCAATATGAAAGGAATAAAAACTAAACTATGTTGAGATCTGCGGTCTTACAATTGTTAACCGAGCTCGATAGAACTTACGGCAAAGCCATAAAATTCCTCACCTTTGATGTGAAGCTGGTGGGAAGACATTTTATGACGTCTATTAACCCGCTGTCCCTTACTGACCACGAAAGGTGGTACGACTAGCATTCCTATCCTGAGTGCCATTGTTACAGCTTTTCCGTGGTATTCCCTGAACTACTCGCATCCTAAAAATATGTATTCCTCATCGTTAGCTGTTCAATGTAGCCTTCTAAAAAAAATAAAAACCCAATTAATTACTACAACAAGCTGCAGCAACTCCCTCTATATTATCTCCATAATAGAGAATAATTCTTTGTATCCTGGTGTTGGGTATGACTTGTCAATGCTGACTTTGATGAATTAAAGGATGAAAGGGATTTTTTTTCTTTTTGACAATCCCACAGACAAACTGGGGGAGAGTTCGCCGTGTCGGCAAGAGGCAAAACTAACTTCAGATAATCACACACAGCCGAGTTGACTGTGCTGACACAAATACACAATAGTGTGATTAGTAAGTAAACAAGGTAGGTAAGCTAAAGAACAACTTTTGGTGCACATCTCAAAGTAATTTCTGCTGACTTTGTGGTGCACATGAAATGATTCACGTGTACAGTACAACAGGCTTTCTGATGAGTCACAAGTAAAACTGAACACATCAATACATAATAATGTGAGTTGCAAGATATATATCGGTATCGACAGATGTATCAGTCAATGAATAACAATAAATTGCAGTATGTAAATGCAAAAGATGTGTTGGCAGTAATGTAGAAAACAAAGTTGAGCTCATTTCTCAACTGTAGAATATCCTGCTCAGTGCATACTGTATCTTGATCACAAATCTTAAGTAACTTCATTAAAAGGTATACTATGCAGGGTTGTCCTTAAAAAACGATGCACAGACTCATACAAAAGTAATCCCTCTCGGTCATCAATCACGGCCTACTAAAAGTGTGTGGCGGTGTCTATAAGTACCTCTGCCTGTATTTTATTGTTATTTTTGCCGTGTTCGAGACGTTTCTGACGTCAGCCTCTGTGCACTGGGTATGTGGCCCCTGCACGTGCGCTACCACGCATCCAAGAGGAAGCTAAACACCAAAAAAACGCATATATAGTTCTTCCAAATCGAGAATGAATCTGGGGTTGGCTTTCACTTGCTGTGTTTAATGCTGCAAGTGGTACACTGGGCTGTGTCCAGGCAAAGGACAGGTGGCCAAGCGCCGGGGGGAGGAGAGGTCAACTTTGAATGTTGTGTTTACAAACAGTAGGCAACAACTCCTGCATATTATGCATGCATGGGCTCCTTTTAACGTGTTTGTTTACGTTGCGTTTGTATTTGAAGAAAAACAAAAAGGATGATCAGTTGCTAGCTTTGCACATTGTCATGATGGGTGTACTGACTACCAAGCTAGACATTGTTGCTAATATCTGCATCTAAAAAAAAAACACTTTTCTGTAAATAAGTATGCTACAACAATACACATTCAACAACTGCTTCAGGCTCCCATACGTGTGAAAACACGGTTTATGTCCATGGGCCCACTAGGGGGCGGTGTAGAGCACGGGGGGTGCGGGGGGGGGGGGGGGGGGGTGCACGGTTAGCCTTTTCCAAAAAAACAGAGAAAATAGACAGCCCTGCTTTTCAACAGGCAGGGGGAAAGTAAACTGGTCGGACTGGTGCGCATGCAGCTGATGCTGAGGGCTTCCGTTTAAAAGAAAGAAAGAAAAACATTACTTCACCTTCCTCCAAGAAAAATAATTAAAACAAGAGTACCAGGTGAAAGACGACATTGGCATCTTTGTATAGAAAGATTAAAAACGTAACTGTATTAGCAGCAGACTTGGGGCAGAAGGCAGTTTTAAAGATGTGCGACACTGAGGGGGTTGAACCTCACCACATTTACAGTTCGGTGGGAAGTTACGCGCGCGCGCACACGCACACGCGCGCACACACACACACACACACACATCGATAAACTAGTAGAAATAACAAGAGCCACCACACATGAGAGAGAGAGAGAGAGAGAGAGTAATAATAAGAGCTGTTGTTACCTTTTGAGTAGAAGGATCTGGGAGAATTCAGGTCGAGGTCCCCGCTGAAAAGGGAGATAAAGTCAGAGGGCATCGCAATCCCTCAGAGTGAAGAAACCGGACACTCTCGAGTCAGTCAATACCGTCACTGAGCGATATTATCTTCTCTCTGGCTGTCAGAATACCTGCAATCCAGTGTTCAGACAACTGCAGTGACTAAGTTGACCCTGTCGTTGTGGCTGCTTAACCGTCTCCGCTGTCACTTGGCTCCTGGGTCCGCCTACAGACGCATGATGTTTTCAGCACACAGCCCGAGCTGCACCGGGAGCCACGCCCACACCGATGACGCAATACGTAAAAAGCGATGTAGGGATTATTTAAGAGTAATGAGATATCCATGGTTTGGTTTGAATCCATTCAAACTTTGTCCAGGTTTTTTGCCGCACGGCACACACAGTATTAATACTCATATATATATTGCACCGACATTTTCACAGCAGGCATTTTGAACATTCAGTATTGTGTGCATGCTGATACACTAAATTTAATGGGATCATGATTCATTTTATTAATTATGTTTGCCCTGCGATGACATGTCAAAATGGACACCGTATTTTTTTTGTGCCGTTTTATAGTTTTATGATTATTTTTTATTAATTATCTTAATTATTAGTAGTATGAGTGCTAAGTTGTGTGATATATGTTTTATACAACCCATTGGAAATGATAACAAAAGCTTAGTCCTGTTTGAAAATAAGCAATATTATGAAAAAAGGCTGATTTATGCAAATACAATGTTTCAGTAACCATGAATATTTTTTATTCATTTGCTTAACAAAATATACAGCAGCCTAAAATACAGTGCTTCAGTGTGTAACATGAGGATCATCCTCGGTTCCTACTTCCTCTCAGTGTTTGAGATTCTCCTACAAGAGTGACATATCTGCAGCAGTAGAGACAAATGCTAATAATTTACAGACTTGAAAGGACAATTTATTGCAATTCAGTCACAAAGCAACAAAAGCAAAAACTGAAGCGAAGGACTCTGTGAGAACATGTCAACCATCGCGGATATTCCCAGAAGAAACCACTGAGGGTCCATTATTTGAAGCAGATGAACCAACTGGCCTCTCAGTTGGGCAGTCGCCATCTTGTTTCTTACATTTGAGTCCAAACAAACTGAAGAGTTTCATCAGCATCAGGTCCACAATCTCATCCTCTTCTGACGGCTGTAAGAACAGTGAGACATGTGCATAACTCAAAGAGCTCACTTCTTCTACAACATGTGTTCAATAAGCGTGGGTGAGTTACCTTGTGATGGATCTGCTCTTGACTGAATGCCACCAGAATGACAGAGATGAAGAGATTCAGCACCACAAAGGTCATGAACACAATGCAGGAGCCGATGAGGAAAGCTCCAAGGACTGGATTGTAATTCAGAACCTGGGGGATCAGGAGGAAGACATGCACTGAAGAAGGCTCAGCTGTCATAATCTGCTGTGGTTCATTTATAATAGCCTCATACTAACCTCGTCATAGTTAAAAATGCCAAGCTGCAGGCTGACCATGGTCTGAGCAGCATTCAGCAGAGTCCGATAGGAGTATAGCTTCCACCCATACATCAGGTTAGACTGAAAAGTAGAAAGTTAGTCTCTGTATTAACCACCTTTTGAATGAAACAAATGCAGTGACTCCAGCAGCATGCTGATGTTGAAGTGTGGGAAACTGCTCACAGCGATGGAGTAGGCCAGGAACATGATGGTCATGACCACCAGGAAGCCTGAGATATCAGTCCAGGCTCGCTGCAGCGTGGCTGTGATCATGTGCAGCTTAGGGTTCAGTCTCAGCAGGTGCCACAGTTTGACTGTAGCCAATAGCACCAGGAAGGCAATGAGATACCCCAGCACTGCATCGGCCTTGGCTGTCTCATGGAAACTGGCGAATCTGGAGTCAGAACATGAGTCTTGTTTTACAATCTATTGGAAAGGGTTTTCAATGGATTGAGGAAATAATAGTTGACCTAGTAATGCTTTCCTATTTATTGAGTTGAAATTAAATTCAAATAACAGATTGTCTGTGTACATAATTCATTTCAAAAAGTTAAAATGACCAATTCTCTCTGAGCATTTGTCAGACAATGCTAATTATATAGCATTGACTGACAAATACTATATACCACCAGACTATACCACTTACACGGCATATACTGTAAAAAATGTTTGCAAAAAACTCAAATATTTCTCTCACATATACTTTTATGGGTTGTGTTTCTCTTATTGCTTACTGGTCTTTGTTGTTCTGGTAGTACTCCATGTCCCGCTTCCCAAGTAAAGTCCTCTTGATGAAGACAGACAGCGCGCTCCAGCTGAGGAGGATAATTGCCAGCTCGAGCAGATTCAACTTGCTCTTGAAATAAGCCCATCTCTGCTGCTTCATCAGCTTTCCCTATCAGGAGGAGAGGCGTTTGCGTGAGGAGTAATCATTATTACCAGTGATGATTGTAGATTCGAGGTATAATGAATTAATACCTGGACAAACATGTAATAGATGATGAAGAGGAAGTAAATGGCTTCAGAGGCCATGACAAAGATGTGAAAGCCTCCGGTCGACTGGTAAAGACGCACATTCTGAAGCTCACTGCGGAACTGGAAAGCTCCTGGAGGAAACACAAGGCGACAGACAACATGCTTCTCAAAACAGTTAAAGTTTCTCTGCAGCTCCCACACAAGAGCTGGACACGGACTACTTACCTATGGCTGTGGTCTCCAGCATGAGAGTGATGATACAGAAGAGGTTGACGTTGGCATTGTACACAGTGAATTCTACAAAGACTGCTTGGGTGTACACATCAAACCAGGTGTTGTCATAAAGGTACTGAAGGGATCTACAAAGAGAACGACATGATACGATTTATAAATGTCGTCAAACAGCAAGTTCTGATGCAGAGGCCAACTGTGTGGCACAATTTTGTCATTGCTTTACTAATTTGAGGCTAATTACGAGTTAAAAGACAATGAAAATACTTTTATTAAATCTAAAGATGCAGTATTAAGGTATTGTACAAATGTGAATCTACAATGAATGTACGATAAAAGATGCTTTTGTCACCGCTCTATCATATAATGCTGCAAGAAAAGCTTTAATTCCCTAAAGGTAAAGTAACAGTGCATAGCATTTAAGGGGATCTATTGGCAGAAATTGAATATAATATTAATAAGTATGTTTTCTTTAGTGTATAATCACTTGTAAAACAGGAACCAATTTCAGTTTGAAACCTCACAGTTAGATGATGTCAAATCCTACGCACTGCACCTTTAAGGAGCTGGAACCTACAAATGTTTGACAATCATATTCTATCAATCAACTAATATATAAGTAGACTTTTCTTTTCACTTATCATCTGTTTTATCATGCCTACCTGCTGGAATTATGTAAATCTGGGCCTAAATCCACCACAAACCCTCCTCCTCTGTAGAGCTTCACGCTGCCCCAGATGGGGAAGGCCCTCAGTTGACGCTGGGACTGATACGTCCATGGGCTTTGAATGCTCAGCGAGGTGTTATCACCCTCAGAGCGGCTCCAGCCTGGCCCATAGGAGCTCATGTCTTCCAACTCCCACGAGTATGGAGCGTGACAGTCCTGCTCAGACTGCTGCATGGAGGGGGCCACGTGGCAGGAGTTTTGATGCACCCTCACCTGGCGAAGGCGAGCATTACCCACCAGCTTGGAGTTTCCATCTGTGATGAATCCTGGGACAGATTATCAGGTAACAAGAATAAACACATTTAAAGAAAAGAGCAGGAAAACGTTTTGCAGATGAAAAATCATTTTACGTGTCACACTCAGCCCAAATAAACAAATAAATAAAATCTTAGTCACAACTATCTCCATATTTTGAACCATGCAAGGCCTTTTTACACCGTTACAGGTTAATGACAGAAAAAGTTTGAACACATTTTATACTTTACTACATAAATATAGTGTTGCTATCATCGATCTTTGAATATATATTATAATCATCACAATTCTTAATATTTTATAGTCAGATTCAATTTTATTTATTTATTTATTTTGATTTAGGAACATCAGGGTACACAACAATATACAAATACAATGACTTTGACAATGCAAGGACCAGGTTACCATACAGCAACCGAAGCCAAAATAAACAAAAAGCTGATATTATCTATATATCTATCTACCAAATGATGACAGCTGAATAATCAGCATGTGTTTTCCATTTTGTTATCCATGTAGACAAACACTCATTTTCAAATATTAAAGGTGATTCATGCAGCCATGCAAATCAGTCGTGTGCGTCAGTTAATAACGTCCCGACATACTGACCTGGGTGCTCTCCAAACAGGTTGCTCAGCAGAGTTGTGTTTGCCCAGTTGAACATATCCTGAATACTCATACTGTCAGAGATCCCTCTGCTGAAGCTCTGCCGAATGTGTTGGGTCAGCAAGTAAGCGTTGGGGTCCCTCTGACCATACGCCACCAGGAGCAACATCCACATAAATCCCATGTAAGCTGCATTACAAGCAAACATATCCCATCAGCATCTGAAGACGTATTACATTGCTTCATATGTTGTATCACTGTGGTTCTCCTACCAAAGATCTCCTTTATTAGTCCGAAGACCTTCTGTTCTTTAATCATGGTGTTCCTTATCTTCTCGATGTCAGTGGGAGGTGGTGGCTGATAGAAACTGCATGTGCTATCTCTTCTTGCTGCCCGCACTGTATCAGGATCATCTGAGAAAGGGATGTTGTACCGATATGTTTTGTTTTTCCACACAAAACAATACAACAAAAATAGAAAAATCGTACCTGTGTTCCTCAGACTCTCATCCATCTGAGGCTCTCCGTACTCCTCTTGGTCAACTTTCTTCAGAACAAGTGCGAAGAAAGCCGCAAAGCCAAGAACCTGTGACAGAAGAACTTCAATACCAGGGCACTTCCTGATCAATGTATCATAAATACAGTCAGTACGCACTGAAGTACTGGGAGGGACATAGACAACCCAGAATGCCTTGCAAATGTTTATGAAGTAATTCATTGAATGGCATGATATTTGGTAATAAATACTCAAATTAAAAAAATTCAAATATTTTAAAACAACAAAAAAAACATTTGCAATGATATCCATGTTTGTTCTGACCATTTACTGTAACGTCACTCACCTTCAGCGGTTGAGTAATAAAGAGACTCTCAAAGAAGGAGACCACCATGGAGATGAGCCAGCTTATGGAGCGGTCTTTCCCGTACGTCAGCCCATACATCATAGTGAAGTACC